TGTAAGTACTAAAATTTTTTGAGGTGAATATAGAAATTACATGTAAGTATATTTATATTTATACCTTTTATTATTATTATAAACCCTCTAGAAAGAAGGATCTAATGGAACTATTTCGGATGTTTTGAGACCTGGTCGTGAAATGGTTGTTGCAGGTTATTGTATGTATGGTAGTTCTGCTAATATGATCATTTCGACTGGTAATGGCGTGAATGGATACACCCTTGATAACGTAAATATATTATCTTCACCTGAGAAAATTTTCATTATATGCATACTAATTATTTCTTATTTATTTTAGGCTATCGGAGAATTTATTCTCACACATCCTAATGTAAGTATTTATCTTCACTTGTAATTTTATTTAACTTTTGTTAACTTACTTCATCATTTATATTAGATTAGAATTCCAACGCGTGGAAAGATATATTCAGTTAATGAAGGAAATGCAAAATATTGGAATGAATCATGTTCGGAATACTTTAATTCATTGAAATTTCCACCTGAAGGTAAGAACCCATACTCGGCTAGGTATATTGGATCAATGGTAGCAGATGTGCATCGTACATTATTGTATGGTGGTATATTTGCTTATCCTGCTGATAAAAAATCTAAAAATGGTAAATTAAGAATGTTGTATGAATGTTTTCCAATGGCTTTCCTTACCGAACAAGCTGGCGGTAAAGCCATTACTGGTAGAGAAAGAGTATTAGACATCACTCCTAATAATATTCATGATAGATGTCCTATTTTTTTGGGTAGTAAAGATGATGTTGAAGATATAGAAATAATTTATAAAAAACATAGTTCTTAAATGGAAATCTAAATATTTTAGAATAATCGTTTATTCAATTTAACTTATTTATTGCAAAAGTTCAGAATATTGTTCCCTTACAAGAGTACAGTGTAAATTAATTTTTTGATTTATCAATTTGGAAATGATTTGATTTTAAAAATTACGCTTTTTCTGACAGATATTTAATAAATAAAATAAATAGCATTTAAATACGATCGTTATATATAAAATACATTGTTACAATATCATCCCGATATATAGATATGATGAAATATATACTTTTTTTTAAAAGCCCACCACTTAATATCATTATGTAGAAGTAATTCTTTTTCTCAATATAACCGCAAGACCATTACCGTTACTCTGTAATTTAGAATAATTACTCTCATCGGTTAAATCATTTTCATCGTCTTCATCATGAGGACAAAATATGATCATTCTTCCCATTTTTAATCTAACAACTTTTCTTAGCAATTTCATTGAATTACCTTCTGGAAAAGGAACATGTTCTGAAAGAAATTGTGACCATAAAGGTGATGAAAAGTGGTGAAGAAGTAGCATGTTTGATTGTAGCAAAATAGGAAGGGGAGTTGAAGTTGGTTCGTATGTAGTCACGATTAAGTTCACTTTGTGATGTTGTGGATATGATTGAAGATGATGTACCGTTGTGGCCAATGACGTGTTGGGAACTAGATACTGTATTTGATTAAAGCAGTGAGAAAAGGTTGGAAATTACGATCACGAGATATCTACCATTTATATAAACCTTACCTTGTGAGCCTCATCCAAAACCACAAGTTTACGAACGTTATATTCGGTCCCATTATTTAAATTTGATTTCAAATTACTTCGGGTATAAACACCAAGAATAATGTTGAAAAGTTCTGATGCCATTTTAGCCCCAAGTAAAGAATCGCTCAAATCAACAACGATTGCAACACCTGATCGAAACATTTCTTCTAATGGGATAAAACTATCAAAAAAGTTTTTATTTTGTAAAGATTCTTTCAATTTGTCAACAATGAAAGTATCTAATTTGCCCAATCGTGTGCTGAAAAAAGACCTCATCCTATGATTGTCTTTACATCCATCATATAATCGGACACAAAAATCATCGTAATTGAATTTGTCGTCCATATGAAAGTACAAAATATCTTCAACCAATTCTTTGGCTTGTTCGTGAATTTGAGAATCTCCCACGATATCTACCCACGATTTTATATCATTCCTACATAGATCTTTTTCAGAAAATAATAAAGGGATAATTTCACAATTTTCAAAATTCGCATACAATTTCACCATATTTTGATAATTGGAAAGTGTTACCAAAACAACTACTTTTTCCGCTCGAGTTTCTTGATCAAAAACTCCAGAATGCTTAGCCGAAGTAGCCAATAAAGCACTATCACAAGGTAAAGTCATTATGCTATTGTCAAATCGAAATATTAAAGCAGAATAAGGAGAATCTAATTTTCCAAGACGCGTATTTTTAATCAAACAACCTTCTAGTATGGTGTTCTTGGTTTGACTCACACCAGAATTAGGAAGGCCTGAGATAATCATGGAAAATGGATCATCTCCATTTAAATAAACAATTTCATTTGGATTTGTTTCCAAAATACCCAAACTTATATAATTTTTAAAATGAGAACAATCTTTTTCCAACAAAGAAAGACGAAACAAATGATTTTGATGCACCAGCTTTTCATTTTGAGAATCATCGCGTACAATTAATTCTTGAATTTCTCTCAACTGGTTATCAAACTCATTTGTTTGGATTGGTATTGAAGGTTTTGGTTGTGATGGTTTTGAAATTTGCTCATTTGGCATTAAAGGAGTTTCAGATCTGGATATTTTCTCGCTTTGAGCATGAATTGGTGATAAAACATCAGATTGAGGGGTTGTTGACCCAGACTGAGAGGTGTTTATCGATTGAAACTTTGGTTTGATTAAAGGCGTATGGTCCGATTGAGTGGAACTTGATCTATCGGACTCTGATGAGAATATATATGGTTTTAAAGAATTATCAAATTCTGTTGGCTTTGTATTTGTATCAACTATTGTTTTTACTCGATCCTCAAAAATCCGAACATTAGGATTAGTCTTTATTGGCGTTATCTCAGGACTTAACGTCGAATCCGAAAGTTCGATTTTATCTTCACATTTATCAACTGAGCTTATCGATGGTTTTCTGCCTTGATTAATCGTGACAAATGGTTGAGCTTCATTACCAGACCTCTGAAATGCAAATTCTTTACTATTGTTTATGAGTTCAACCAATTTGAATTCCGGAAATGTGTTATTCCAATTTAATTGTGCAACTAAATGAAATAAAGGAACTTTTCCACCTTCAAACAAGATATATTTGCGAATAAAATCTTTTGGCGAAATTTCGTTTAATGCTGAGTTATATTTAACCAAAATTTCACTTTGACCTTGTGAAAGCATAAACTCCGAATAATTTTCCAAAAATTCAACCAATTTACCATGGGGATGCATATTTTTCGCGTTAAGATGATCGCTTATCATTGAAATCGGTACATCACCTTTTGGTTTCAAAAATTGACGAATAAGTCGAGCAATATCAATATCTTGAGATCGAATATATACGTCAGTCTCCACAGATAATTTGAATTCAGTAAAAGGTAGTAAAAATTCTTTCAATCTGTTGTTACGCGGATACATATCCTGGCGTTTCAGAAAATCCCCCATAACTGAAAGTCTAACTTTACCATGTTCCAGTAGGAATTTACGTAGATAAGAGACAATATTAGCATCAGTCGGTTTGAGACGAATATAGAGTTCTCCTTGAAGTCTTCTCAATTTTAAATCATTGGTGTGTGAATATACAAATTCGCCTAAATTTATAGTCGGTAATGCCGAACGTTCTTTCAAATACTCCTTAATATCCGAAAGAGAAGCGATTATTTGTCTCACTAACAATTCACGAATTAATTGAATGGTAGGAGTCTTTGGAGAATTGTGTTTATTACGATAAGTGTTAGGTGATTTTTGTGACTGGGGTATCAACTTTATATAATACATATCATCTTTGGAGATACATTCAAATGAATCTTTACAGGTTTTGATAAATTCTACAAGTTCATCGGTGATGGAATCTTGCGTTCCCCTTAAGTATATATTCAACTCGGTACTAGTTACACCTTCATTTCCACCATGTCTAGTTAGATATTCATTTATCAGTCGTTCTGTTTGAGTAATTCGTCGTTTTAACATGGTTTCCGTAGGCTTTATCGATTGATTTGAAAGTGAGATGCATGTAATACCTCGTTCAGAAAATATCTGAAATGCACCTTTATTATCACGTAAAAAATCTTGAAATTCAGAATCATTTATCACACCCAATAATTTCATATGTTTTTCTAATTCATAAATTGATTCAACTGAACATAAATCAAGATATTTCTTTGCACACTCTAAAGCTGCATTCTGTGAAGCAGTTTGTTTTTCAATTAACTCATCCTGAATTGTGACCGGTTGAGAAGGTGAAGTAAAAGTAGGTAATGACGCATGCTTAAGAGTAGGAGTATTTGCTGAAGAATCATCATTTACCGACGAATCATCCTTTATTGACGAATGATCCTTTATTGAAGAATCTTCCCTTGCTGAAGAAGAATCTTCATTTACAGAAGCAAACGTATCTTCCTGTATGATAGAATTGTTGACATCGTTGATAAGAAATTCACCTCGCTGAAGTTCAATCATATCTTTAATATAAGAACCACTTCCAGCCAAAGTTGCTTTAGTTGAACGCGTAACCACTTTTTTTAGCCTAACCCCTCCAGTGCTAACTTCGAATTCGTCTGCGTGTTCATTTAATAATTTTATAAGTTCTTTACCAATAATTGTAATGTTTTGAGTCTCTAGCCAAACTGATAAGGCATCAATGCCAACAGCCCAGCCAAGGTCACCGTCAAAGTATATTCTAACAGCATTGAGAACTTCTGTAACGTTTTCTACGGTCGCAGACATTGTATAATAAAGAAGGAATTCTAAAAAAAAATATTTCTCTATTGTTACCATATATAATATACATACCTTTGGAAAAACTTGACCAATCATTGTATGATCCGATGCCTTGGTACGTACTTAGTTGTCCATCTAATCTTTTGTCCCTCTCGACGCGTTCAGTCAGATATGATAGTCAGTTCCAAAAACGTTATTTAATTGATATTAGACAAAAATGAGTTCTGTTGCATATTCGCTTTCACATTCTGAAGAAGAGGTCACTGAAACTTTAACAGACGAAAATAATGTTAGTTCAGTATGTTAATATATATTTTTTTTCCAAAAGTAATAAGCGATTTGCTTAATTCAATCAATATATATAAAAATATATTAAGAGCAATACTTTATTTTAAATAGACTTTAGAACGTTCTTCTGTTAAGAGTTTTATATCTCTCCAAAAGGCTCGAAAATCTGGAGCTTTGGTAAATGTCATTGGAGTAGTTGTAGCATGTACCCCAAAAAGAAAATCGAACGGGACAGGTAATTTGCAATACCAGAGTAAAATTATCTTCAACATAAAAAAATCGAGATACTTTATTTCGAAATACTAATTGAAATTTTTTTTTTATAATAGATTACACCTGTTCTCTTGTAATTATAGATCCATCTATACCTATTAATGCTAAAGGAATCACTGTTAACGTATTCAGGTCTCTAATTGATCAATTGCCAGACTTGAGTGTCGGCAATATTTTTATAGGAAAACATCTAAGGGTAAAAAATTTTCTAAATAATATTATTAATAGTTTTCAAAAAGTATTTAAAGAAATATCATTGGGTTTAATAGATTCAAACATTTTATGAAACTACACAACTTGTGGCAACAAAAGAAGGTTCTACGTTTAAGGTTATAGACGATATCACAGAACGAAATCATCAATTTCCATTTAGTATGCAGCCGCACGCCAAAGAAATTATGGAATATTGTAGTTACTTGCGACGATGGTGTACATCTTCATCAAATTCAAGGCATGGTAATTATACTTCAATAACCTCGTCTAGAAAAAGGATTAAGATTCAGGAGCTTCTTCCTGGTATATTTTTTGATTTAATTGCTGAGGTGATTTTTTAATTATCTAGTGAATTATGAATATTTATATCTTTTTTCCTTCTAATCACTAATATTATCGTGATTTTAATTAGATTGTAATGGTTTGTTCTGCGGAATTCAAGGTAGATCTTTACGTTAGCGATTTTACTGAGAACAAACTTCTTGGTAATCGAGAATATAGACCAAACACACCTTATGGTCTTTATAGTAGAAACATTTTACAAATCACTTTATGGGATGAACACGTCGAAGACGGAGAAAAGCTTCAGATAGGAACATTTGTTCATCTACGGAATCTACATTCGAAAAGAAATACCAACGATGATCTCGTGGCTTTTTTACATGGAGATAGAGAATTCAAGAACAAAAAGATTATTGTACTCGACGAGCAAGATGCTGACGTTAAAGAGATTATTCGGTATATATGGAAATCTCATGATATTAATATTATTACAAGATGATTGAAATATTAATATATATATATATATATATATATCTATTAGTCAAAGAAACGCTTATTGTGCACAAAAGACGCGGAACGTTTTAGAACAAAATGAAAGAAGCTCTTGCCCCGAGTTAGAGCATGATTACACGGAACAATCAATAACGAGTATAATCTAAAAACAAATAACACATATATACCATTGTACTTGTTCAGAATTAAATTTATGCTTTTTATTTCAATAATTCAGGAATTATATGCGATAAAGAAATAGAAATTACAGATATTGATGACATAAAAGGTTACTCTGAGGTGATATAAAATTATAAATTTACCGCCCTGGAATATGTTTTATTTCGTTTTCTGTTATATCACCTAATGATGATCCTCATCATTTGTTAGCCTGCAAATTTATTTCGGGCACGTGGTCGTGTAATCTCTGTTATTCCTTCAAATTTTGAAGATTTTTCTCAACCATATTGTCATAGATGTAATAAAATGTAAGAAAGTTTGTTGAATTTATTAAACGTTCGACTAATATAAGCTAATAATATTTCTTGCACTAGAATGCATTTTATAGGATGTGAAAATTGCACAAAATGCTCTAGGGAGTTAACGAGATTTAAATACAAGTTTGGTCTATTATTTGAGGACGAACATGGTGTTGAAACTATTCCAGTTTTAATAACCAAAGAAGATGCGGTAATGAATTGCTGTTAAATATCATATCTTTGCATGATATCATTATATTTTAATTCACTTTTTTTTTTGTTATGTTAGAATACTTTTCTTGAAGGATTGCCACCAGTCAAGTGAGTATCAATTTTCATGTCGAAATATACTTTACGATAATATTCCCCTTCATTATTAATAATTATTACTCAAAGTCTTTATAAGAATCAAACGGTTCTTCAAAAATTAAAAAGGCGAATGCAAAACCTGTTGGGGAATGTCTTGGAGAGTCAAGCAGGATGTGGTCCTTTAATTGATTTTTGCGTAAGATCTTATGAGATAGAAGATGGAAATGGTAATTTTAAAAGGATATATAGAATGTTTAATACTGTATTAAAAGAATAATAAATATAAGTCAATTGTGTATTTATATCTTGTGTAAATGATAATATTAATTCAGCTAAAGAGTCATTTTATCTGTGAATGACTTCCTTCCTTTTCACTTTTATTCCAAAGCTCGGGGCTCCTGTGTGAATTGCCTGATATTCACGGGAAATTATTTCTATATTTGACCACTACATATAATGTGAAATAAAAAGAATGGTATTAGTTTTGCTAGAATATTCACAAATATCAAATAATTGAATCGTTATGTGATTGCATATCACTCATATTATATATAGCTACAAGGAACTCAAATGGCTGTTTCGTTTTCGACATGGCAAACAAAATTATTATATTCATTGAGTAAAATTCGATTAGAATTCAAATTATTTTCGGCGGTTTTAGGCATATTATTAAATTTATAATTGATGTATTAATTTATATTTATTATTGTAAAAAAAATAAATAAAATACGAGCGAAAACGAATTAACGTGAACTAATCACAAATAGTGGGATCCCATCCTAATTATTTAAGAAAAACTTTAATTTGACAATTTTGATAAATTCATGAAACTGTTCACACATTACCTGTAACCAAATGTTGATCTAATTTATCAAGTGACTCCATATCATCTTCTTCAATTTCAAAATCATATACGTTAACATTTTCAATAATACGATCTTTATTAATACTTTTTGGTAAAGTAATATATCCATGTTGAAGTCCCTTTTTAAATTGTGGAAAAAAATTTTTTTTATAATTAATAGTATTCTTGCGAGTTTCTTAAATTATCAACCAAAATTTACCCATCGAATTAAAATTTGAGCAGATGTTTTATTGTATTTCTGAGCTATCTTGACCAACTTTTTGTCTTTTAATTTATTCCCTTTAGTAAGCGGAGAATAAGCTTCTACCAAAATATCATTTTGAGCACAAAATGTTACGATATCATTTCTCGTTAACCAAGGATGAATCTACAAAAGAGTTAGGAAATGTAACTAAATTTCAAACATTCAAAGGAAGTTGATAAAAACTTACCTCAACTTGATTAACAGCCGGCTTAATCTCGGGGTTTTGATTCAACAATTCTTTTAAATGGGTTACGCCATAATTTGAAACGCCGATACTTTTAACTTTACCCAATCTAACCAATTTTTGTAAAGCATCATAACTCTCTTTACGTAATTGAGGACCTGGTAATGGTGAATGTAGAATTAATAAATCAATATAATCTGTGTTTAGTTTTTCTAACGATCTTTCGGCTGCCTGCAATGTTTTTTTATATCCTTGATCCGAATTCCAGACTTTTGTTGTAATCCATATTTCTTCTCGTGGAATTTCACTATTATTTCAATAAAAAAATATGATCAGATTTTAAAAAAAAATAATCGATTAAAGAATTTCTAGGAATTACCTTTTATTAACGGCAATTCCTACGTCAGTTTCGTTATCATATAAAGTTGCGGTATCAATATGTCTATATCCAGCCTATTGATAAAAGTTAAAGATTATCCCGAATCAATCGAATCAACTTATAATTTATTATTATCACCTCTAGAGCCCAAGTTACAGCATTCTGAGTGGGAATACCTTTAGGTGCTTGATATACTCCCAACCCTATTTTTTACATCAATTGTTTAATCTACTGCGCCACGTCCTAATCGAACCATTTCTTTATTAACATACCTAATAAAGGAATTTTGTGGCCATCATTGAGAGTGGCCGATGATGAAAGCGTTAATCTGGCAGCTTCAGCCATCCTTTTAAAAATTTTTCGTGAAATTTTGAAAAAGTTATCTCAAAAGAAAAAAAAGAAAAAAGAAAAAGAAAAAAAAAACCGATAATCAGTGTAGAACTCTTACTTGTATTTATATTGCGAGAATTAAACTTTGATGACTCAAATTCGTAGATTTATTGTCGTACATCCGCTCTTTGTATATGCGATAATTGTTACTTTGCATGCTTTTTTTTTTTTTTTTTTTTTTTTTTTTTGTTAATGATATATAGTAAGGATATTCCCAACATCTCGGAATATCTTCTGCACCAGATAAATAAAGATTTACAGTACGTTGGGAACTACAATAATATAATAAATAATGTTTTGTGCAACCTGCTTTAACAACACTTCAGTTTGCTTTCCATTTTACACGATCTGTTCAAACACGATTTCTTCAACACTTATCATAACAGATTTTCTTTCGAATTGCTAAACCCCATGATGAGAAAAAAGTACAAAACTAAATTTCCAGTGGTGGGTAATCTTGAATTTACTTTGTCAAAAAAATAAGCTCAATAGTTTTTTCTCTCCTTGCATTTTTCATGTTTAATTATTTCTACTTAAAAAATATGTTTTATAAAGGCTCGCATTAAAAAAATCATGCAAATGGATGAGGATGTAGGAAAAGTAGCTCAAGCAACACCGGTTTTAATCTGTGAGTCTTTAAAAAACATCTATTATTCTTAAAATTTTAAAAACGTTTTTCTTTCTTACTAGAATATTAAATGTAACCTTTTGTCTTTTAAAAAAAAAAATAACTTAGCTAAAGCATTGGAATTGTTCATGCAATCACTAATAGATCATGCATGTCAAGAAACAAAAGCTAGGAACGCTAAACGGATGTCGGTTTCGCATTTGTGAGTAAAGGTTTCTTTTATGTAGAATTTTATTTTTGATTTACTTACATATACATTGTTTGCTTGGAAACTTTATATAGAAAGAAGACTATTATGACAACAGAGCAATTCGATTTTCTAAAAGACGTTGTCGCTAATATACCGGATCCGGTAGAAACTTTTGATGGAGAAGCATCATCTTCTACCATTTCTGCTAGCATTATTAGTAGTAATATGGATGTTGTAGATGCTGTAGTAAGTGACGAAGCGGAACCATCTGAACCTGTACAGATTAAAAAACGAAAAGGACGAAAAAAGTAAGTTGAATTTACAAATATAAATTTTCCTATCGATGCCACATTACTTGAATTTTTTTCCCCCTAATATAAAAAGGAATGTGGATGACGAAGAATATAAAACATCAACAACAACAAATCCACCGAGAACGAGGCGGAGGTTAATAAATTTTAATTTTTTGTATTGCAATCATCTTGAAACCAAAGTTATTAATGCGAATTCATTTAATAGTACTAGGAAACGGAAAGAGGTTAATGATACAGAGGAAGTTTTTATAAAAACAGAATGAAAAAAAGAAATAGAATGGAATTTCTATCAAGCGAATTCATATATACGTATGTATGTATGTATGTATAACGATTAACTGAATTAGATTTCTCGCAAATAATTTAAAATTTGTGAATTACAAGAAATAAGAAATTGTTTTTACAAGATTTAAAATAGTTGTTCTACTTTTAGACAATAGTTATGACTTTCATCAGATTGTTACAATAGGATTTTTCTTTTTTTTTTAATTTCATTTTTTTTTTTTATATCATTTGATAACTTATTTATATAAGTATTCAAAGTTATATTTTTACTGTTGTTATATAATTAATATATTAATATATAATAAATTTTACTATCATTTAACCAAATAGGATCATGCTGAATTTTTATTGTATTATTATTTAGAGCTTCGAATCAAGTCAAGGTCAACCCGATTACCCGACCCGACCCGAACTTCGGGTCGGGTTACAAGTTTGACCAACATAGCGGACATGCTCATATCACATTGTCGATCATTTATATAATTTATAATAATCGGTGTAAAAAATTTTTTCTGCGATTTTAATTTCTAGTCTATCTAGAAGAAATGATGTATATTTTATATGTTTCGAGCGTTTTGAGATTGTCTCACATTAAGTCCCAATGTCATAGATCATGTCCTATGATAAAACTGCTAGTAGTATAATACAAAAGATTTCAATGTAATCTAATAAAATAGCTTTACAAATGGTTAAATATTAAAAATTTATGATTTTAAATGTAGATAGAGATATTGAATATTTGGAAGAGTATCATTTTTATTAAAGAATATATAAGATTAACATTATTGATTAAAGAAATTGATTAATAAAATTCTTCAATTAAATCATTAATCAATTGTATAAATAAATGGTATTTTAAGGTTTTTATGTAAAATATTCTATTAATATATAAATACTATATAAAATAAAATTTTTATAAATTAATATTTAAGGTCTGAAAATATTATTTTATTAAAACGTAATTAATAAATCATTTTAAATAAATATTATTAATTAAATAATATGTTTTATCTTTTAATTATATAATAAAAAATTTAATGTTACTTAAAAGCTAAAAATTTGTAATTTTTAAAAAAAATTTATTTTAAAAAATTTTATGATTAATCTATGATAAACTTTTAGAATTTAATTTTAACTATATTAAATCATCATAAAATATTATAAAATTGCTTATAAAGAAAAACTATTATTATTATAATTTTTATAATTTATTAAAAAATTTTATGATTTTAATTAATGATAAATTGATTCAATTAGTATGCAAACATATAATTATTATAAGAAATTTTTGAAACTTAATTTTAAAATTAAATTATTTTAAAAACCTTTTTAAAAACTTAATTCGTAATCTGTGATAAAAGTAAACAAATCACTAAGTAAAATTTAGGGAAAGTTTACTATTAATAGCCCTGATTAAGGTTGCTTGTCTAAACTCATTTTGGATTTGGCAAACGGTTAAACCTTTAGTTTCGCTAAATTTTTACTAAGTGTTTGATAGTTTCGCCATTTTTATAAGCTTTAATATAGTTTTACCTTTTTTCAAATTTCGCAGATTTTTTAATAAGGTTTTAATATAATTTAACCAAGTTTTACTTTTACCATTTAAACGTCTGTCTAAACCTTTGATTTTGTTCAGCAATCTTAATCCTAATTAAATAATTTTTCAGATAGTTATACAATGATATAAATATCGACATACTAAACTGTAACTGTAAATCATTTCTCACATAAACAAATTTTAAATTCATAATAGTTAGTTCATTTTTTCTCTGATAGTTTTTGATTTTGCTTTGAGGCAAATGTGGATTTCACTTTTTTTTGAATTTTACTTTTAATCACAAAATCTAACTTCGATCTCTATTAACATTATAGTACT